TGTTCATATCGATATCGGAATTATATCGTATCGACCGAAATTAAGAAATATATCGTGATATAAATTTTGGCCATATCGTCCAGCCCTACTTGAGGCTGCCAGCTACTTTCTAACAACTAGAGGCAATTACCTGGTTACGTTTCCATAGATTATTACAATATAAACATTTTAAAACTTTATATTGTCACAGATTTCTTTATGTGTCTTAAATTGTAATTTTTTCACTGTCCTTATTAAACGTGTCATCTTTCATGTCAAATTCTTACATTGCTTTAATTAATTCAGTTTGAATAATAAGAAACTGTAGAGCTGTTACCATTCAAATGAAATCAGTATCAACAAACTGCATCTTTCCACTGCAGCAAACACAGAAGCTGCATCTGAAGTGGCATTAGATGTATTTACACAGACTGTTTGATGAAGCTAAGGTGCCATATGCATTTACACTGCAAAATTAAGAATGCATAAAGAATTTTATAAGATTAATATTTTTAAACATGCAAATAAGAAATGTTGGGGAAAATGCAATGATAGTTTCAAATATGAAACCAAACCAGTAGGTGGCGGCAAATGACTGTTTGAATGAGTGAGTCATTTAGTCCTTCATTCAACAGATTCGTTCAAACGGCTGATTCATTCAGAAACGAGGCAAGTGACTACTGTCTTTATGAATTGGTTACTGAATCATTGATTCACTTGATTCGTTCAAAACTTGGATTCATTCAGTAACGATGACACAAAACAGTTCTGCTGTGGCTTTGATTGGAGCTATTTTCATCAGCAAAGCTTAGCAAAAACAGTCAATATTGTGTCTAAAATGTAAGTCACTTAATTTTAACTTCTTGTTTATTGAACTACAGTTGTATAAAATCACATTGCAATCATGTTGAAACATTCTGTTCGTGCAATGTTGCGTACCTAAATCATATATTATACATTTCCCTTTTTTTTCCCTACCGAAGTATGCATCTGACCTGACGGTCCCCATGTCTGCCATTGGTTGAAAAGTCCTGTCCTGAAGTCCTAAAGCTGTGTTTGGTACACAGTAGGGATGTCAACGATTAATTGTCGATAAGAGATGCAATTGATTAAAGCTATCGATGGTCGATTAAGTCGTTTAATTCTGGGCTGCGTGCGAGCGGCTGTGAGTGACGGTATATAAATGCATCATCATTCACTCATAATATCACATAAAGCTTTTAATGTGAGTTAAACGTTAAAAGTACATTAAAATAGATGTATTTAATGGAAATGATCGAAAAGTGACATCCCTAGTTCACAGTGTTTACATTTATCATTGAAATCAACTTCGGAATAGTTGTCTCTGTATATTAAGCTAGGTTATGAATACGATATTGAAGCAATGGAAATGCTGTTCAAGTTAGACGTAGTGGGCTGTATTTGTATTTCAGAAGTATTGCTGTTTTTCTGTTATGTTGCGCTCATTTGTTTTGATTTCTGCACGAGTCTCTCTCACACTCACTCAGGCTGCGCAAGCCTCATCTGGCACGACATCAATACATTATCAGTCGCCGTAAGTGTGACGTGAACAGACCGGCTTGGAATCGGCAGAACTGGGCCGATCATGCAGAAAACCGGCTAATTCCAGTCCCTGGCCGGTCGATCGGTGCATCTCTAGCTTTTTTCTGTCTACTTTCTAACAACTCAACTGGTTACATATGAGATTTCTATGACCGTACCACTTAATGTCTGATCAAACATCTCAGCAAAGCAATCTGTTCAGCGTCTTGCTCTTGTTCTCATTATAAATATGTTTTCATTGTCTTTCAGCTGAAGATCTGAAAGTGAGTTCACTCGAGAGGATCACCGTCACCGTGGACGGAGATGAAGGTAATGGTCTTGAACTTTAGAGCTACTTTATAGAGATGATATGGAGCATGGCAGATGATTAAATGCTTGAAATGTCTCTAGTCTAGACGTTGGTTTACGTCACAGCAAGACAAAGCCATGGTGTGCTACTTGCTATTGCCATTTGATTGCAGTTTGTATTGTGGAAATACGTTCTCATTTAACTGGACAATTTGTATTTTTGTATTGGTAAGTGCATTAGTATTCTTGGTCTTCATGGAGGTTGGAAGACAAATGCGTAAATTTCAAAGCTAAATTTTCAGCATCATTAGGCCTACTCCAGTCTTCAGTGTCACATGATCTTTCAGCAATCATTTTAATATGCTGATTTGCTGATTATCAATATTTAAAACAGTTGAGTACATTTTTTCAGGATTCTTTGATGAATAGAAAGATCCAAAGATCAGCATTTATCTGAAATAAAAAGCTTTTGTAACATTATACACTGTTCCATTCAAAAGCTCTTTTTAAAATGTATATTATAGATATTATTACTTTCATTTAGCAAGGATGTTTTAAATTGATCAAACGTGATGATAAAGACATTTATAATGTTACAAAAGATTTCTATTTCAGATAAATGCTGTTCTTCTGAACTTTCTATTCATCAAAGAAACTTGAAAAAATCTACTCCGCTGTTTTCAACATAATAATATAGTTTATTATTTGGAATCGGCAGAACCGGGCCGATCATGCAGAAAACCGGCTAATTCCAGTCCCTGGCCGGTCGATCGGTGCATCTCTAGCTTTTTTCTGTCTACTTTCTAACAACTCAACTGGTTACATATGAGATTTCTATGACCGTACCACTTAATGTCTGATCAAACATCTCAGCAAAGCAATCTGTTCAGCGTCTTGCTCTTGTTCTCATTATAAATATGTTTTCATTGTCTTTCAGCTGAAGATCTGAAAGTGAGTTCACTCGAGAGGATCACCGTCACCGTGGACGGAGATGAAGGTAATGGTCTTGAACTTTAGAGCTACTTTATAGAGATGATATGGAGCATGGCAGATGATTAAATGCTTGAAATGTCTCTAGTCTAGACGTTGGTTTACGTCACAGCAAGACAAAGCCATGGTGTGCTACTTGCTATTGCCATTTGATTGCAGTTTGTATTGTGGAAATACGTTCTCATTTAACTGGACAATTTGTATTTTTGTATTTGTAAGTGCATTAGTATTCTTGGTCTTCATGGAGGTTGGAAGACAAATGCGTAAATTTACTCTACATTGATCTTTGATAAATGCAGCAACCTTCAATTTTGAATTCATGGCATCTATAAGATGCTTTTTGCCTGTTTTTAAAGTTTAAGCTTTTGTATTAACGTTTGTTTTGGTGACACTTGTATTTCAAGTAGTATTTTCTTTGTTATTGGTCTGGATCTGCTGTTTTTCTTTATGCAATAATTTTTTCTGTGTAGCGCGCATGTATTTTAATGGTCATAGTGTTGAGTTTTGCATAGTAATTTTGCTTTATGATGATAACTTCGAAGTGCAAACATTTTCCTACAAACGTGCTGCTCTCTGGTACTTAACTCTAGATTTGTGCTCGGTACAGACGACATGAACACTTTGCTCTGCTTCCTGGTTTTCTTTTTCTTTTGGTCTGTTTCTCTCTATAAATTCATCATTGTAGGAAATGTAATACCAGTCGGCTGTGCAGTTGTTTTTAATGTAAAGCGTTTATGCTTTCCTTTTGCTTCCATGGTGACTAGCGACCAGATCGTTACCTGTAGAGTTAAATTGTGGTCCTGGACATGCACTTAATGACTAAACTAAGTTAAATAACAAACGTCTGTTCAGTGAAAATAGAGTAATCCAGGGGATAGTGAAACTAATATTGAAACTAAAGCATGCTTTGTCACACAGGATCAGATTAAGCAGAGCATCTCTGATTACAATAGAATGTCATTGCATGCATTTTAAACAGAAAGTGCATGCTAATACCAAGTGTAAACCGGGTCTGCTTACGCAAGGTACCGGGTTCAGTCTGTAAAAGGGAATATGATAAAAATTCATGGAGGCGCAGTGGGCACTGAGTCATGCTCCATTAGCAAACTCTAACACTTCTTGCATCCACCTCTGTAACATATGGTCATGCCCAACAGCAAGGTGGACAGCTTGAAGATTATCGCAGAGATCCATCACGCACTAGTGCTCTGGTCGGTGGCGGCGCTCAGATTCTCTGTTGGCTGTGGTTGTTGTTATCGGTTATTTGAATAATCATAAGTGGTACAATGCGATTTACCCATCTGCTCCATTGACTGACGTCTGTCTTTGTAGAGATTGAGGGAAAAACCCGAGGATCTTGTTCATGTTTTTCATTAAGCTGCTCAGTTGACTGTGAGGTTGTATTGCTCTTCTAGTGAGAGTTTTGGGTATTTACTTACATTTTGGAAGAGAAGGCCATCTAATAGTCTTGATTGCATAGATTCTCTCACACCAGAGACTGATGCATGTGTCTCAGTACATTGCAGCAAAAGGTCAGATCTATTCAGTGCAAACCTATTCAGTCTTTCAACTCTGTCTGAAAGTAAACAGTTGAGAGAAACAAGTGACAACTGTCATTTAAAGGGATAGTTCACCAAAAAAATTGAATTTGTCATTATTTACTCACTCACGAATAGAAAGATCCAAAGATCAGCATTTATCTGAAATAAAAAGCTTTTGTAACATTATACACTGTTCCATTCAAAAGCTCTTTTTAAAATGTATATTATAGATATTATTACTTTCATTTAGCAAGGATGTTTTAAATTGATCAAACGTGATGATAAAGACATTTATAATGTTACAAAAGATTTCTATTTCAGATAAATGCTGTTCTTCTGAACTTTCTATTCATCAAAGAAACTTGAAAAAATCTACTCCGCTGTTTTCAACATAATAATATAGTTTATTATTTGGAATCGGCAGAACCGGGCCGATCATGCAGAAAACCGGCTAATTCCAGTCCCTGGCCGGTCGATCGGTGCATCTCTAGCTTTTTTCTGTCTACTTTCTAACAACTCAACTGGTTACATATGAGATTTCTATGACCGTACCACTTAATGTCTGATCAAACATCTCAGCAAAGCAATCTGTTCAGCGTCTTGCTCTTGTTCTCATTATAAATATGTTTTCATTGTCTTTCAGCTGAAGATCTGAAAGTGAGTTCACTCGAGAGGATCACCGTCACCGTGGACGGAGATGAAGGTAATGGTCTTGAACTTTAGAGCTACTTTATAGAGATGATATGGAGCATGGCAGATGATTAAATGCTTGAAATGTCTCTAGTCTAGACGTTGGTTTACGTCACAGCAAGACAAAGCCATGGTGTGCTACTTGCTATTGCCATTTGATTGCAGTTTGTATTGTGGAAATACGTTCTCATTTAACTGGACAATTTGTATTTTTGTATTGGTAAGTGCATTAGTATTCTTGGTCTTCATGGAGGTTGGAAGACAAATGCGTAAATTTACTCTACATTGATCTTTGATAAATGCAGCAACCTTCAATTTTGAATTCATGGCATCTATAAGATGCTTTTTGCCTGTTTTTAAAGTTTAAGCTTTTGTATTAACGTTTGTTTTGGTGACACTTGTATTTCAAGTAGTATTTTCTTTGTTATTGGTCTGGATCTGCTGTTTTTCTTTATGCAATAATTTTTTCTGTGTAGCGCGCATGTATTTTAATGGTCATAGTGTTGAGTTTTGCATAGTAATTTTGCTTTATGATGATAACTTCGAAGTGCAAACATTTTCCTACAAACGTGCTGCTCTCTGGTACTTAACTCTAGATTTGTGCTCGGTACAGACGACATGAACACTTTGCTCTGCTTCCTGGTTTTCTTTTTCTTTTGGTCTGTTTCTCTCTATAAATTCATCATTGTAGGAAATGTAATACCAGTCGGCTGTGCAGTTGTTTTTAATGTAAAGCGTTTATGCTTTCCTTTTGCTTCCATGGTGACTAGCGACCAGATCGTTACCTGTAGAGTTAAATTGTGGTCCTGGACATGCACTTAATGACTAAACTAAGTTAAATAACAAACGTCTGTTCAGTGAAAATAGAGTAATCCAGGGGATAGTGAAACTAATATTGAAACTAAAGCATGCTTTGTCACACAGGATCAGATTAAGCAGAGCATCTCTGATTACAATAGAATGTCATTGCATGCATTTTAAACAGAAAGTGCATGCTAATACCAAGTGTAAACCGGGTCTGCTTACGCAAGGTACCGGGTTCAGTCTGTAAAAGGGAATATGATAAAAATTCATGGAGGCGCAGTGGGCACTGAGTCATGCTCCATTAGCAAACTCTAACACTTCTTGCATCCACCTCTGTAACATATGGTCATGCCCAACAGCAAGGTGGACAGCTTGAAGATTATCGCAGAGATCCATCACGCACTAGTGCTCTGGTCGGTGGCGGCGCTCAGATTCTCTGTTGGCTGTGGTTGTTGTTATCGGTTATTTGAATAATCATAAGTGGTACAATGCGATTTACCCATCTGCTCCATTGACTGACGTCTGTCTTTGTAGAGATTGAGGGAAAAACCCGAGGATCTTGTTCATGTTTTTCATTAAGCTGCTCAGTTGACTGTGAGGTTGTATTGCTCTTCTAGTGAGAGTTTTGGGTATTTACTTACATTTTGGAAGAGAAGGCCATCTAATAGTCTTGATTGCATAGATTCTCTCACACCAGAGACTGATGCATGTGTCTCAGTACATTGCAGCAAAAGGTCAGATCTATTCAGTGCAAACCTATTCAGTCTTTCAACTCTGTCTGAAAGTAAACAGTTGAGAGAAACAAGTGACAACTGTCATTTAAAGGGATAGTTCACCAAAAAAATTGAATTTGTCATTATTTACTCACTCACATGTTGTCCCAAACCTGTATTAATTTCTTTCTTGTGCTGAACACAAAATAAGATGTTTTGAAGAATGTGGGTAACCAAACAGTAACTGATCCACATTGACTTTGATAGTAGGAAAAAAATACTATGGAAGTCACTGTGGATCAGCGACTGATGTTTTTTCACCTTCTTCAAAGTAGCATTTATGTTCAGCAGAAGAAAGAAACTCATTCAGGCTTAAACAACTTTTGAGTGAGTAAATGATGGTATAAAAAGACAGACAGATGACAATTTTTATTTTTGGGTAAAATATTGCTTTAATGTTAATAAAACAACAAAACGCTGAGAGTAAAATCACTCACTACTCTTAACTGAAAAACTTGAATACAGTTGCTTTAATAGGAATCAATCTATATCGTGTTTTAATCTTATATTTGTTCATTCAAATTCTTGAATGCTCCTGCTGAATACACCTGTTGTACCTTAAAATAAAGCGCTGTTGTTTTACTTGTATAATATGTGTATTTATAATGTGTATCTTTGTACTTATTTTTTAATAACAAAGATGAAAATAATGACACAGATTTTTATCTTTGCCCACTTTGGCCTAAATATCCTCCATTCTTTTTTAAATATTTTGTTACCTTGAAAGGCTTTGTCTTCATAATATGGAAATTAGCTGTAATGCTCAGACAGCTTGCAAAATGGTAAAAACCAACATGACAAAGAATCGTGATAAAATCGTGAATTATGATATTTCTTTAAAAAATCGTGATATATGATATTTTTGCCATATCCCCCACCCCTAATTCTGGCCATAAATCGCTCGCTTAAATGGTAAGGTCTTTCTGATTGACATTTAAAGTGAACAGTTATGCAATGTTTTGTCTATGCATGTCATCTTTGGTTTATATGAAATAGTTGATACCACAATAATGAACCAGGTTGGGAAAAATGTTTGTCCAAGTTAGTCTTTGTAATCTTCATTCAAATGCAATAAGTAGATTATTTCTCAGACTATAACACCAAGAACTGAATATTTTATGAAAAGGCATAAAAATGCAGTTTTGCTCATGCATTTTTAATTCCCTGGCTAGTAGTTTTGGGTGTAATGCATTACTAAATATCTAATTACTGTAATTTAATTACTTTTCCCTTGAAAAAGTGATTACTTTAGATTTTTTTGTAATGCAATTACAGTTACTTCCGATGGCAATTGCATTAAATACTGTATAGACTATAGAACAATTAAAACAATATGGATTTGGGAATCTTCTTCCTTAAATACTTTGGTCAGTTTAAAGAATTAACAGAGACTTAACTGGGCAGTTTCATGTCTGTTCTTATATTGTTCATCTGGTGAGGTTGATATGAGATTTATAAAGTTATTAGTAATAAGTAATGCAGTGCTTTTTGGAGAAAGTATACACTGTTAGGTGTAATTAGTAGCTAGTAATTACTTACCCAACACTGCTTACTAGTAAGTAGGTCTTCACAATATTTTTGAAACGGATTATTTTGCTCAAAAATTATAATTGCGATAATTAATCACGATAAATCTCATTGGTTTTATTAAAGTTCGCCAGAGAAGGTTTGCTTGCAGATTTAGCCACAACAAATATGCCAAAAATCCAAAAGCTTGTGGAGGCTTGTTAGCAATGCAATATAAATGCCCATTAAAAACAATGTTTTCGGGATGGATAAATATCCAGCGGCCAAATATTGCTGATGACTGAGAGAAGCAGAAATTGCATTCTTGATTAAAATACCATTAATTGTGCAGTTCTACTAAGCATCTCAAACACCTCTTGAGTATCTTTTAAAGATTTGATGCCACTAACCTGACAAACTTGGCAAATCCAGCGATTCGTTTTTCCTCAATCGTTGAAATAGTCTTGTACCTTGTCGTTTTCAGGCTGGCTGTTGCATCCCTGGACTCCTGCAAGTTGCATAGCTGGCAATTTCAGTCGGCACTTGCCTTTTTTCTATCCAGTATGCAACAGATAGCAGACTGTCCAGAGCTCAGTGAGATCTCTAGCCAGCTGAGTGAGCACCAATGGTTGTTGTAGTGTCTTGGCATGTAATTATATGACATTACATCACGTCCTCAGTCATTTGAGCACTGTGAGGAGACTGGCAGTGCTAGGGTGTGTGTGCTAATTTTAAGATGTTTATAAGAGACGCTTCGATAATAGAGAAATGGCCAACAAGACTGGTGTTTATCTCACATTACAGTGCCCTTACAAGGCGTCCTACTCTGCAGAATGTGTTAACATCCCTCTGGATGTGTTGATGTCCCTATTCTGAGAAGCGTTTCTTTTCACCTTGTGGCGAGAAACGCTGACATCGAACTTCTGTCAGCGTTCCTGCGACTGCGTGCAGCGCCGTGGACGAATGAAGCTGGCACTGGGTATTCATCTGCTGTTTTTGGCTTTAAAAATGTAAATGACACATCTGAGGACTATGAAGTTGAGCTCTTTGTGTGCATGTATTAAGTAGAAATGTGTAGGGATGCAGCGATTAACCGGTTTCACAATTAACCGCGCTTTAAAATGTCACGGTTAATTAATCGTAAAGGCTCCGCTACACCGAGTGTTTCTGTTGCACAGAACGGAACAGTTGCAACTTGCGCAAAACGAAAACAAAGTTACACTAGCGGTGCACCAGCTTAAAATACTGTGCTTATCAGAGACACGGAGGCTACTACACACACTAGATGAACTATGACAGAGGAACCAAACAGCGATCCTTTATTTCCCCCAGAGAAATGACTCGATAGTGTGGGACTATTTTGGGTACACCAAGAATGACCAGGGTGTCGTTTAAATATTGCCGTAAAAAACTGCTGCTAAAGAGCGAATACACGGCTTTAAACTATTTTAATGCACGACGTGAAGGCAAGACTGACGCAAAGCTACGGCTCATTAGCTCAGAATTCTGCCCGCTTCAGATCAGACAAAGATGAAATAGTATGGTAATATCACATTAATTTGAATTAATTAATTATAACATTTAGCTACTTTAATTAATTATTCGATCGAGAGAGAGAGAGAAGTGTGTGTGAACCTGCGTTAGCGCGTCTCTCCTCTACAAACATGCAAGTTTAGTTACCCTCTCCTTGCTGATGAATATGTAGCAATTCAGTATCTAAGCTATTTTATTAATAAAAGTCACGGGGCAGGGTTCACAACAAGTTTGTTTCCTCCTGTATGTGTGCGCAGCGCGATCTCCGATCTCACAAACCAAAATAATAGACATGATTTTCTCAGGCCACATGTAAAATCATATTAATTATTATAAAAATTATTCAAATGAATACGTATGGATGACAGTTGATTACAATGATAGTTCAGTTTATTCC